ATTGGAAGACTAAACTCGTACCACCAAGATATTTGCATATAAATATCGATTTCTTTCCTTTCTTTGCTACTAATCTGAATCGATGGGAAAGATGTTTTAAACATGCTGTAACGTCTTAATCCTTTTTTTTTTTTTAATTTGTAAAAATTTGAAGCAATTTGTCAAAATCTAGCTTTTGAATCGTATAACCCTGTAAAATTCATGTAATCATAAAATCTTTCCATTTGTTTTACCATATGATTTATAGCTCATCATAATGAAGCAATGAGACTTTTACGTGAATCGAATTTTCTTAGTAGAAGCCAGAGACGCTTGTTAACTGTATATGTATAGTTCAATCATCTCGTCAAAGCATGCACGACCTCACATCATCACGGATGAAAGGCAGAGCGCTATTCCGATTTGCGTACATTTTAATTTTTGCTGGACGTCATCAAAATGATTGTTCAATATAATTGTTAAATTTCCTAATACGATAACTCAGACAAAAAACCATTCACTTTGGATTTAACCTTACCAACTTCAGTATTGCTCTTTAATTTTGATTTTGATGAACTTTTCTGCCAAAATCAAAAGCTGTAACCATAGTTAGAACACGAATCAGACACGCTCCGTAGATGTGAATTAATAGACATGGCGTTAGCGCGTATAGCCAAAAGAAATTCACCATATGAATAAGCTATAGATAATCCACGAAAGGGTGTGAGCAATTTTTGATTTTTTGAGTTATTGAGTTTTTAAGTTGAAACGTCAGAAAAATACAATGTCGGTTTATATATCTCACAAACTAACAAAGCATGACAGTGCTGTGTCAATATTAGTACGATTTATACTATAATACGACCGAACTTTTAGAATTCACAGACGATTGTTAGCTGAGCGGTGAACGCTGCGTGCAAAGCATTAGCTGTCAAAATGAACGGCCCTAAGGATTTTTGGAGCTTGAACTGAATGAAGCAAACATGGCGATAAAGTGAACTTGTTTTCATTCTTCGTTTCCATATTTCTGCTTCTTCTCGACATGTATAATATTAAGAAAACAGAAAAATACGAAAAACTTGGGTTACAGTACCCTGAGAATGAGGGCCGGTGGCAAAACGTCAAGTGATGATTGTTGTCTTTCGTTCCCAGCGCTGGATCTGCAGGCGGCCGCCAAACGGCCAGGGTGCAATGATGTCATCAAGTTTTTATTACTCAGAGAAGTTTCGAAATTGAAAATAAAGCTATTGATTTTTTTCTAATGCATTTTAGTCAAATCCAGATGTTTTGCAAAAAAGTCGAAGCATTGCAAAACTTGCTTTTTTCCCTTCGCACATCAAATACTCACTGTAGACTCAACTGAGAACGTTACCTCGTTACCATTTTTACGTAAACTTTAACTAGAGAGGGCGAATTTACCGAATTTTTTAAAGCTTTATGCAATGATTCCTTTGTCAATCAATTTTAGCAGTCTTTAATTAAACCTAATTTCCATCAATCCAAACGAAATTGTCATAGTCCTTTAGTCGCTGTTCAAATCACTTCCAGTCGAACATGGAGCACTATTTTCGACTTTTTTTAAATCAACGTATGCCCCAAAAACGTTGTTGGAAAGTTGGAACAGAAAAAAATTCACCATCATCTGCCTAACTAATTGCATATTGTTCAATAATTGACGTTCAAATTGTAACTATTGCTTTAGTGGATTTAAGATTCCGCATTTCTAATAGTATGATATTCAGCAACATATATTTTTTGGGTTTTGCGTGACTCCTCGATCTATAACGGACAACGCAGTCAAAATACAAACTCTGGTTCGTCTGATCCAACAGTTTTTTTCGTTTGTACTCGCAAAAATATAAACCAACGGATACCAAAACGTGTATTTTTTTTAGCTTGACTTACCAATTACAGCAAGCATCAACACAAGAGATGTCAAAAACACCTTCATTTTGTAGCTGTCGCTTCACTAGCTTCTTCACAAAGTATAGAGTCGATAAACTGAGCTCAGTATAAGTGACTACAGCACATTAAAAATGTAAATTTGAATTCGAACATATCGTTGCTAAACAATAGAATTTAAGACGTCATGGCTGTTTATGAAGTGGAGTGGAAATGTTTTGATCATAAATAACCAAAACAAATGAATGCAGCTTTTTTATTCTTTAATATATCACTTTTTTTCGATTTCGTGTCAGGGAAAAGCACATTTGCACTATGAACAGATTTCTCGATTTCGTGTATAAAGGGAAAGAAAAATTTAGCACAAAAATACCAGGTGTTTATAAAACAATCTCATTTAGAAAGAAAATTCTAATTTTCAAGCGAAAAACATGCTTTGTTTAGAATTGTTTTGTTCTTATTAGCAACAGCATGAGACCGCTCCGCTTTTAAAACTGTGCGCCTTTCATCTCATTGGAAGACTAAACTCGTACCACCAAGATATTTGCA